TCGTCGTAGTAGTCGTCGTAGTAGTCGTCGTAGTAGTCGTCGTAGCAGTCGTCGTAGTAGTCGTCGTAGTAGTCGTAGCAGCTTAGTAGTAGTACTAGTAGTAGTAGTAGTAGTAGTAGTAGTAGTAGTACCTGTGCCTGTGCCCGTGTACTTTTTTGTGTCTTGCGCCAAACGTGTACTTTTTTTGCTTGCGCCTCTACTTTTTTGTTTCGGATACTTTTTTGGGGGTGTGTTTTGTTGTGCTTGTACAGGGGTGTTGTAAGGGGTTTTTATCTTTGCTTCTTTCGAGGCTTATGTCCGGATCGAGGGTATTGGGTGGCTTGGCCAGGGTTGAAACATTCGGTCAGTGGGGTTTTCAAAGGAACTCTTAAATAGTTGAGTTCGGATTTGCATGGGGATGGAAACATTCGGTGACGGGGCAGATAATCCCTTCAGGGACTTCGGGGGCTTGATTCATTCTCCAAGAACGCCCCAGCCTCCGAACCCAGACGGCCCCCAACATTCCTGAAACCCTCCCAAAGAACGCCCCAGCCTCCGAACCCCGACCGCCCCCAACATTCCTGAAACCCTTCCAAAGATCGCCGCCAAGCGCTGCAGGCAGAAGAGGCTTTGATTCAGAACATCTTGTTGCCTCCATAAGCCCCGATCTAAATAGAGTGTAGTTTCACATATACATATATATATATATACATACATATATATATATATATAATATGCACTATATAATTGATTCCTCCCACAGTTAAGAAACCCTCCGAGCCAGCAGGGGTAGCTTGATTAAAGATGGGGCAGCAGTGGTGTTTGTTCGGTCTTCGTGAACTCACGGATGTAGAGCTCAACTTATCGATCTGTCATATGCAAACACGGTGTACAGACTTTACAAATGTCGTGTGCCATCGATGGAGATGATCCTGAGAGTGAGTGAGAGTATTTCTAGTGTTATATACTGTATATATATATATATAAAGGTTAGATTTGCAAGCCTTGCCTTCCCTGTGGATCGATGGTTTCCTCGTCGACATTGCGGAGAAAGCTGTAAGGTCCGCCCCCCCCCCGCTGCCTTGCATGCAGGATACCTGTGATTTCTGCTTGAATTTCAGTTGTGCGCTGTTGCATTGGGCGTGTGTTGCTTCCAACCTCCGCTCACCGGCAGCTGCTAGAGTGCTTTGATGTGCATGAGCAACAGCTTGGTGCATGAACATTACCAGCTTGGCAGTGCATCAGTTCGCTGAATAGTCGCATGGAGTGTAGGCCAAGACACGGGCACTTTAGGTTGCAATTTCCTTGTGGCTGGAGGGTTCACGTGCATCCCATCATGGCACGGTTTGCACCTGTTGACTGCCTACACATGGTGTGGATAAAGGACAGGGTGCTTCTCGGGCGCCTCGAGGAGGGAGGACGTGTTGTCAAGACAGTTGACAATGCCACATTTGTGAAGGCCAATGAGGATAACTGTGTCGAAAATCGTGCTCTTTTGGAAGCTTACATGGTGCGGCAAAGGGGTGCCCGTTCTTTGGATATTCCTGACTTGGAGTCGATTAAGGCACAGTTGCTGTCGATGCACACGACTTATGCCATGAACTGCAGGGCTAAAGCAAGCAAGAGGCCCAAGGCTTTGCTGGAGGCTACGATGGAGCTTGTGCAGGCCAATGCACACTTGGATGCAAAGGCTTTGAAGCGGCTGTTTTCCTATGCTCGCAGACGATTCCTTTCGCCCCATGAGCCCAAAGATGCTTGGATGCACAGTCCAGTGCACGTGAGCCAGGTGAGTGAATGAGTGATTGCATGTGTTATACTTGGCATGGGACGACTGATTTAATTAAGGGAATGAGCGAGTGAGTTTATGTGTGCACGATACAAGTCTGCCTGTTGATGCCAAGAACCCGGACTTTGCGGACTTGCTAGGCCTTTGGGGTGACCAGGAGCCCTTCCAGCACCTTGTGTCTCTGCATGTTTTGCATCCATGCCATGCAGTATGTTTGTTTTGTTTGTGACCAGTTCACGATAAGAAACTTGGGATTTCGAGGAACTTTATGGCAAAGGTGGTAAGAAGACCCGGTGGGACACAAAGGATGCCGATGAGCAAGCTGGGGAGGATGATGCATTCCATGAATACGCAGGTGAGTTTGATGAGGAAGCGGAAGAGGAAGCCCCAGAGGATGATCCCCCTCTGGATCCCCCTCTGGAGGTGGCCCCATTCCCCGTGCTGCCAACGCCTCCGCCCCCACCCGTGCTGGAGATGCCACTCCTGAACGCCGAGCCCGCCCCTTCCTTGCAGAGGAAGCCTTTGCTGCATATGCAAAGTTCGTCCTCGATTGCTTCAAATGCCACCACCCTCATTTTGGGCGAGACACCCAAGACTCCGGAGCCAAGGACGCTTGTGCCCGCACAGAGTGCGCAGGTGAGGCAGATGACGCCGTCCCCCCCGAGTTTGCCGGTTGAAGTGCGCTACAGAGAGGTGCTTTATGTCGCAGAATCCCCCCGGAAAATGGTTAAAGCCGAGCCTCGAGATTTCGAGGCTGGGGTTCCTTCTGGAGTGGCAAAGCCAAGCATTGATAAGGATGCCGTGCTGCACGAGTTGGCCACTCTTGAGGCAGCACAGAAAGCACTGCTGGATGCAGAACGCAAGTTGTCAGCCGAAGCTTTGGCAGCAGAGCCAAACACAACAGAGCCGAACACAACAGAGCAAAACACAAGAGAGCCGAACACAACAGAGCAACACACAAGCGAGCCAGGCGAAACAGAGTTGGAGCCAACAGAGCTAGACGAAGCAGAGTTGGAAAGAGCAGACGCAAAGCAAGCAGCGTTGGAGCCAACAGGGCCAGTGGACAAGGAATTCGCTTTGCAAGAGCTGGCTGTGCTGCAAGCAGAGCTGCCATGGTCTCGGTCGTATTGTTTACACTCGATCGTGGTGCGCATGCATGTTGAAGTGTACTTCGATTGCATATGTCGTGCTGAGTTCCATGCATGCAAGGTTGCGCCTGAAATCGTGCGCTGATGCTACGGGCAACTTTTCCTCACGAGTGTGTGTGTGTGTGTGTGCTCCAATGTACGTGGGTTTGGACATGACATGAATTTAAAGTTGTGTTCGATATCTAGATCCCTCCTAGGCCCCACCGGTGTGCTCGACACGGATGACACGCAAGTTGCGCCGGCGACTGTTCTGGATATGGAAGCCGACAGATTGGCACGACTTAATTCCACATGCAACATGGTTGACAGTGTGGCCGATCCTCCTGTTACCAGGCTTCGATGTGAGACCATGATCAATATACTTGTTTTCTGCACTGTGATACAACTCGGAGTGTTTGTTCGAGCCCCGTGATATCTCAGGCTGTGAGCCGTGAAGATCAATTGGCTGCTCGCAAAAGGCGCAAGGAGGAGCTGGCAGCAAAAAAGGCTGCCCAAAAGGCCCAGAAGGCAATTCTGGACCTAGATTGCATATATACCTTGATCATGATCGTTTCGTGACAAGTTAGCTTTTGCATGCGTGGGATAAAACCGATCGGTCAGGCTGCTGTTGCGAACGCCGAGGAAGGTGCAAGGATGAAATCGATCGACCAGGCTACCATTCCGGAGAAGGCCAAGGAAGGCGCGGGGGTGAGATCGAACGAGCAGGCTACCGTTCCGGAGAAGGCCAAGGAAGGCATGGGTGCAGATGGTGCTGTGGAGAATCATGATGGGGAGCCGCTGACAAAGAAGCGTAAAACAGCTGCAAAGAGCAAACCCAAGGCGAAGGCTGCAGCTGCCGAGGCTTCTGAAGCCCCTGAACCTGCCCCTGTGGCTGTGGCTGCTGCTGAGGTTTGCAGCCCGGGTAGGGGTAGGGGGAGGGGTAGGGGTGGCAGGGGTCGTGGGAAAACGGCGGCCAACAAGAAGCAGGGTCGTGGGAAAACGGCGGCCGACAAGAAGCAGGGGAAAAGCAAGGGCAAGGAAAAGACGAGCAATTTCAAGGGCAAGGGGGCAGGCCAGGCCAAGAATGCGAAAGCACAGCGCGCCGTGGAACCGGCAAACGTGCCAGAAAGGAGGGTGTCGACGAAGAGACCCCAGGATGGCTACGTGGCAGAAGTTCCTGACAAAAAGGCTGCCAAGCCGAAGTCAGCTCTTCAGTCTGAGGAGGCCTATTGCATGTGTGCACGTTTTCTTATCTTGCCACTGCTATTGAACCACGTTTGGGGACATTGTGTGCTGTTGCCATGGCATGAGTTTTTTCGGAGGAGAAGATCGAACAGAGGCAGAGTGTGCTTTCCACGAATGGGACGCTGAAGCATTACACTCTTATGGTCTATTGGAGTCGCCCTGGTCTGGGCATCAAGCAGCTGAGTGATGGGAAACAGGCTTTTAGCTGGGCATGCTTGTTCTTACTTCTCGCTGACACCGGTCCATCCCCTATATTGTATTCTATGCCTTTCTATGTGCAGGTTCAGTACTTGGGCGGCAAAAGCGTGCCCATGTCAAAGATTATCAAGGCTGGCATCGACTGTGTGTCTTGGTCGAGTTTAATTGGATGCTGTTTGAGCAGGGCTCCTGCAACAGTTGGTGTCCCTCTCTACAGGGGTTCGTGTGACTCTAGGTGAAGTACATGGACGACAACCACAAGGACACCAAGGGAATAGCACAATACGTGCATCGCACAAAGCAGCTTCTTAAAGAGAAGTAGGCAGGGGCCATGTAGAAGATGTGAGCCTTGCAGGCAAGAATTCTGCAGGACGTGCTAGGCTGCTGTCGGGTTGCATGCGCTTAGCCTGTGAGGCCCGATCATTCGTGAAATCTGTATAGGACTCGTGTTTTCTGCAACACATTCCCATTCAAGTGTGGTTCTCCAAAACATGTCTAGACCTGTACATATATGTAGGTTTATTTATTTGTATATATATATATATTATGTATATATATAAATTTAAATTATCTCCATGATCGGACCTTTGCAGTGCGCATGGTATGGGAAACAGATGTGCACCACGTCTGAAGATTCAATGCCAGCAGGCTTAAAGCAGAGCTGGGGGGTTTACGAGGATGGCCCGGTGCAAAAAAGATATCTTTGCCTGCTGGACATGGAACCGATCCGAGAGGTTCTTCATTGCTATTTGCATTTGTGTCTGTCTGCATGATCACTATATAGTCAAGACTCCCTCCGACGCAGGTTCTGGGAGGATCGATGCCGGTGCCGAAGTCGCTCCGGGGGCGAGTTTCCGAGGCTGCTAGTGGCAGGGCAACCGCCGATGTTCGTGGGGCCCGCTTGTCTTAATGGCATGTATTGCAAACGGTTCGGTCTTGTGTAGATAAGATATCCCCCTTGAAGCACTTAACTCTTATATATATTTTGTTTGTGTATAAAGATTGGACATATTTAGGGTTTCTAGGTTTTTAGGGTTTAGAGGGTTTATGGTTTGGGAAGGGTTGCGGATCCATGCATAGAAAGGGTGAACTCGGGGGTCTGGGGTTCATGCAAGGTTACTGTGCCAATATAGACTGACCCATTGCCTGCACTCCAAGCTCTCTCTCTCTCTCTCTCTCTCTCTATATATATATATACATGCATACATACACACCACACATACATATATATATATATACACATACGCATATGTATCTAGGTGTGTTTATATGTATATATGTGTATGTATGTGTATATATATATATATATATAAACCCCGTATATGATCGAGTGTTTATCTTTATATAGTTATATAAATGTATAAAACATATATAAGTGTGTCTATGTATATACATATGTAGTACATATGTATATGTGTAGATAAGTTAGACGATGATCTATCGGGTCTTGACTCTAGAAAACCCGGTGCACCCGACGCCACACAGCTTGAAGCCAAGCCTCGATCGATGTTTGACACAGCTATCTCCAAAACAAGAGCAGTGTAAAGCCCTTAACGAAGATGTGTGTCATCCGAAGCCTACGTGACAAAGTAGGCGTCGTTATATTGTAGGTGCCATTATATGGGTTATGATACACTGACATGAATCGTCGAAGCCCAACAGCCCACTTTTGCATATTATCAGGATTTAGAGTCTATATATATATATATACTCTAATTCAAATTAAGTTACACAGTTCGATCTTATGCAGGTATTATCACCCTGAAGCATTCACCTGAGCTTGTGTTATGTAGGGCTGATAGGATTTAGACTGTAGGTTCTTATGGAGATAGGCCTGAACTCGGGGGTCTGGAGTTGAGGAGGTTACGGCATTGCTACTGCTGCAGCGAGGGGGGGGGACAGGGCTTAAGCAAGGTCTGTGTTTTTTTTCGATCCTTGCAAGGCTTCTGCATGGGGTTTACGTGTCCGGTCACAAGATAACATAAGCTTTTAAAATTATATACGGTTTATGAGTGCTCGGGTTCTATTCGAAATTTTGAGGGCTTGTGAGATTTTTTCAGGATGTCGCAATATTGTTGTGTGATGGAGTGGCTTGTAGTTTCGTGGGTCTTGCTGGGATTCACGCGGGGATCACGCCGGGCCTGTCTCAAATTTGAAGTGTTCGAGATCGAGTATGTGCATAGATGCTCATGAAGCTGCATGAGTTCACACTACTATATGGTGTCCATGGTGCTGCAAGTATGCAGATATGATCTTATGTATGTTCACGTGTAGCCATGCGAGCTCTAGAACATTAGTGTGCTTCACCGGGTAGCAGAAGCTAAATTTAAACCAATAGCCAACAGTTTTGACCCCGTGACCCCCTCGCCACCATGTGGACGGATGCCACTCTGAGCCTTTTGCTTCGCCGCCTCTGCAAGCTGAACGCTCCCAAGGTGCGTCTGATTGCACCCGGTCGATCTATGTACCTGAGATGCTTGAAACGCTTTCTCACAGATCGTAGCATAGCGGCATAACATTTTCAGTGGGATAGTGTTCTGGCAGGTTCTGATCTTTGCAATATTGCTGCTCTTCTGGGCAGAGAATGTGATGATTCGTGCAGATGCCACTTGGACACTTAAGGGATCGGCAGCATCAACTGCAAATGTCGTACTTCGCATCTGCCGGACATGTCTCTATACTAAGTCGATCGAATGGCTGGAGTTCTTCGCTGGGGATGCTCAAGCAACGCGACATGTTGCAGCGAGCGGCTACAAAGCTCGCAAATTTGATCTTCGGTACCCCATACAGTACAAGCATCAGAATTACATGGACCTCCTCACACCTGCAGGCATGTCGCATCGAACTCAGATTCGCAGCGTCTCCACGGCAGCTTTGCAAAACCTCATATGCAGTTTCAGTCTCTTGAAATGATTGTTGCTATGCTTAGGTTGGCAATAGCTGGGGTGATGTCCGCTGTGCAGGGCAGGGCTGTTGTATGGTTCGGCTTGGTCTGCTCCAGCTTCACGGTTATCAACATGGGTCACAGCAAGAGAAGCTTCCTGGTTCCTATGGGAGATACCTCAAAAAGGACGGTACAGGAGGGCAATTGCTTGGGCGCCAGGACAGTCTCTTTTGATCAAACACGCCCCCATCATCCTAAAACCCACTCAAACAACAACCCCCTGAGGACATGTCTCCTTATGCTGTTGGTGCTTGCGATGAATGGAGTCTTCATCCTGGAGCAACCTGGGGGTAGCTTCTTCCAGTACTTCCCCAGGTTCCAGGAACTCTGTCGCTTCACCAAGGTCTATAAGGTTGCATGGTACATGTTCCACTACGGTGCGAGAACACCTAAACGACACGTTGCCTTTTCGAATTCCAAGTGTGTGCTACGCTTAAGCCGCGGAAAACTACGAGGATGGAAACGTGCGGTGTCAGGGCAGACTGTCAAGCACTATGTGAAGAAAGGGAAGACGAAGTATGTTGGCACCAAGCACCTGAAGAAAACCGAGTAGGCATCTCAGACTCGTGAAGAGTGTATTGGTATAATGGCAACAGACATGATTGACCGTAGTCCACCCCGCTGAATTCACAATTTCGCCGAGGAACTATCCTGCAGAATTTGGAGCTCGAGTGGCTGCACTGCTGGATGAGATTCACGCCGCCACGGAGTTCGAGCAGGCCGGTCTTGACCAGGCCACACCCACGGCCTTTGATGGTTTTCAAGGGTCTAGATAGATTATATATATATATATATTAACAGGAGTTCATATATATATATATATATAGGGTTTAGGGTTTTAGGGTTTTATATATATACTTATAGACACACACGCATACATATGTACACACATGCATGCATACCTATATACATGCTGGCAGGTACAGATGCAGGCATACACATACCAACGCACACATATGTTATATATATATATATACGCATGCACAGCTGCAAGCCTTGTACTTAATCGTGCATACCTGCACGAATGAATGCATGCATCCATGCATGATAGCATTCGACTGCCTTATATATATATATATACACACACTCATACCTATATATATATATAAATAAATATATATATATATATATTGATACGTAAGAATGATGTGGATGTGATAACGTAATCCGTGTGTGGGTGTCTGTGTCATGTCCATATGTGAGACAGGTGCACGGACACATGCAGACATACGCACGCTTTCGATGCCCATGCACACACACACACACACTCACAAACTTATATCTCCACGTAAAGGCCATGTCGGGTGTCATGTTCCACACATTCCAGGAGCGGGGGCTCTTTGGGTAGCTTTCTACTAGATCGTTAGGTTGGAATCCATTTAGACGGGTCGTCGAATAGTAGAGCATTAACCCTAAAAAACCCTATCCTAAAAAACCCTATATGTGCCCTACCCTTCATCGCTCTGAGCTAGTCGTTTGGCTTTTAGAGCATGTAAGGGGGCCAGTGTTTGTTAGGCCTTTGGGGTCCACTGTTATACGCTTCCGATGCTAAAATCTATACGTATTCGATCACAGGGCCGGCAACTGCTCAGTTCATGCTTCTCGAATTAAATACATCAGCAGCATCCCCAATCTCCAAACGCACCAACAGCCCTGAAGCATCAGTCGCAACTTGCAAACAACCGTGTAAACAACCGTACTGTCACTAGGTCGAAGCTAAAAACCCCAAGGCCCAAAGCAGCTAAATCCGTTCAGAGCCCGTCTGTGTATATATGTATACACGTAACAGATTGAATCTTTAGCACAATCCACTAAAAGACTAAAGAATATCCTCCTGAACGCCAACAAAGCCACACGAATCTCTCGATCCTCCGCATCATGCAACCTAAACTATATAACCCTTATGTAATTCAAATCCTTAAGTTATATCATTATACAGCCCTAAACCCTGCCATGTATACATCCCTCCAAAGCTCCGCAGGCCAGCGAGGCATCCAGCTCAAGTGCCAGTGAGGCAGCATCGGGCTTGGGGTGAAGGCTAACTTTGATCGATTAGTTATTCTTAAAATTGGTTAATAACACAGACACACACACACATATATATATATATATATATGTGTGTGTGTGTATACAAGGTTTCCATATAACTGCAGGACTGTAACACTACAATTATATATATATATATACTATATCTCTCTCTATATATATATATATGTATATGCAGAATGTAATTTGGGTTAAGGGGAGGGGTCAGGTTGTCTAGGGTTCTGCTTGGGTCTTTCGGCTGTAAATTATGTACGGGTGTAATTGTGGTCAAGGTGTCAGGTTGTATGGGGTTTTGCTTGGGCCTTTTCGGGTGCAACGGGGTTTTCCAAGGGTGTTTTTGGAAGGATGTTTTTGGGTTTCCACGAATTACAATTCTTATCACGGCTCAAGCTCTCAATCTCGCTTGTCCTGAGTCCAAAGTACCTACAGGAGGTACCCCACTTATAGAACCCATAGTACTGTTTGAGGGGACACTACTATATATATATATATAGTATATATATATATATACGTTATAGACATACCCTTTATGGGGAGATACTTACCCAAAAGATAAGAAACTATGGAAACCCCTATACCTAGACACCTTCGGGATGAGGTTTGACAGTGAGTCGGTTTAGGGTTTTCTCTCTCTCGCTCTCTCTCTCTGCTTCTGCTTCGACCCACTAGTGCCGCCGTGCCCCATGCAGGACTTCCGCGACGTGTGGAGCAAGCTGGAGTTCAGCGACCTGTGGCCGGAAGCAAACATGTCTGAGGTGGTGAGATACTTGCGGGGCAACCGATCTTTACAGATACCGCCTGAATGGCGGCCTTTGCTCCCTACTTCGCTGCCTGCCTGAGTAGCATCCATGCTAGAGTTCGATTCTATATGCCACACACATGCACACATCATAGAAATCACACCAGTGTGTGTATATATATACACACAGGTGTCTTCAGGCAGCAGTAGCAGTTGATCTCGGGAGCGGGGTTTTCCTGGGGCGACGGAAAGAAACCTGCTGGGCTCGCCGACAGTAGTGCTTTGTAATCTCATGACATTTAGCCTCTAATGCAGGTTGGCTAGTGTTTTGGTGCTCCTTTCGACGATACCCTTTATGAGGTTTATGGGGTTTATAGGGTTTATAGGGTTAATTTAGGGTCCAGAGTTTATATATATATATAGGTTTATAGTCTTTATGGGGTTTGGGGCTTATACAGGGCTTATATAGGGATCATACATATATATATATATATATAGATAGATATAGTGTTTATAGGGTTAAGGGTTTATATATATAGGGCTTATATACATATATATATATATATGTATATATATATATATATAGGGTTTATAGGGTTTCTATATAGGGCACATATATACATATATATGGTTTATATAGGGTTTGGGTTTAATTGCTTTTGTCCTCCAAAGCCCTCCTGGAACCAAGTAAACTAAATTAATCACTTAATCGATTAAGGCCATCCCGTCGCCTCGTCCGCAATCCCGCAGTCCAGTTGATCAGCTGGCTCCACCTCATATAGACCCCACAGATTCTAGTACGGGACGGGCTGTTTGTGCATCCTCTGTATCGAGTGTTCCCCGAATACGTATATAGATCCCGGATTGTCGCAGAACCCAGCCCTGATCGAATGGTAAGATCGGTGTGGGCTGAGAGTCTTAGGGTGCTATATCAGGGTTCAACACGGGCCGTATGTAGGGTTTAGTGGCTTATGGGGCTCCGATTTCTATAGGCTCTGGGACTTTGGGTACGGGCTTCGGTACTCGCGAGGACACAAGACCGGCATCAAGTAGGCGTCCCATAGAATATTCATTCAGTAACAAAACGCATACTTTTTTTCCCGCCGAGAAAAAGCGTACTGGGACCAGATTACGAAAAAAATGTTGAAAAACGGGCCCCAGTACGACCCGTACCCGTACCCAACCCGGATTATGTCGACATGATGTCGTAAAAAAGCCGTACTCAGATTACGACATTTACCCGTACTCAGATACTTTTTCAGCGTAACTGATACTTTTTGTGCGCAGCCCATTTTGGACCTGGGAAGCCCGTACAGCTCCTGCCTGAAATCCTTTCAAGGACAGCCCATATGTCCCTCGAAGCTACCATTCTCCAGCCTCCTAGTGTTGCAGGACCGACATCAGGATGCAGGCAAACACGTCCCGCTCAGAAGTCAAAGAGGAGGCAAACCCCGTGAACAAGCCCAATTTTAAGCCTCGAGCCTCGGGCCAAGCAACCGCAGGTGAGATATGAATGGGTTACGGAGAACGACTTGCAGACCAAATTGGGTCTGAGCAAGCGCCTTGCAACTTTGAAATAGATGACTCTACCGACCTACCTACCTACCTACCTACCTACCTACCTACTTACTTACCTACCTACCTACCTACCTACCTACCTACCTACCTACCTACCTACCTACCTACTCAGCTACCTAGCTACCTAGCTACCTACCTAGCTACCTACCTACCTACCTACCTGCCTGCCTGCCTGCCTGCCTGCCTGCCTACCTACCTACCTACCTACCTACCTACCTATCTACCTCTTAAAGTCTTCTGCCGATATTTATATCGATCGAATCTACCTATAGGTCCATCTGTCTATCAATCCATCCCTCTATCTGTCTCTCTCTCTCTCTCTCTCTCTATATATACATATATATATATATACATATATATGTATATACATATATATATATATACCTCTATATTGGTCGACATCTGTATATAAGTGATCATGCTTGTACCTGTATGTATGTAGTTCTGCATAGATATCAACTATAAATATATATTGCATATTAAACCATCGACCTATATCCAGTGCCTGAATCGAACATATGTATGTATGTACGTATGTATGCATGTATGACTTCTCTCGCTCTCTCTCTCTCTCTCTCTCTCTCCCTCTCTGGACTCTCTCTCGGTCTCTCTCTCGCCCTCTCTCTTTGTTCGCTTCCCTCCAATTCCCGCTTACTCTAGGTAGGTATGGGAATACGAGGTTTAATTTACAGTCCGGGTTGCGCTTGGAAAACATGATTCCATCGAAATGCAAGAGGGTCCTGGGATCTCGAACTTGTATATACAGGTTCATGCAGGGCATATATGTATGAAACTCACATCTAAACCGGGGGACACGTGTGTGCGAATGCAGGCAACCAGGCAAGCAACGGGCATACGGTGTTGTAGGGTGCAGGCTTTAAATGCTTCTACAATTTGAGGTCCTACTTGCAGCAAAGCATGCACACGCACACACGTACATGTGAACCCGAATTAAATTAAGATGCTAACTCAGCAGGATTCCACAAACCAAAAGTGTTGTCCCTTTTTCGAAGCAGCCCTAAACCCTTAATACCCCAATTAAGTCCTTAAATCGGCTCAAGCCTAACCAAACTCCCAAACCAAGTCTGTACACACTTAAACCCAGCTGAGGGAGCAAATCCGGGTCATTGAGGACAAGGCACCGTGCAAGCCACATCCATCGCCGCTCGTCCTGTTAGTGTAGATTCAGCTGATGTCACCACGCAGAAGCCAGTTCGAGGAGGGCACACGTCACTGTCTACTTTGTGGAGACTGAGCGAAAGACTGTCCGTAGCCTGACCCCGACTCAGTGAGCTCTAGAATCCCAGAAACAGGCTGGGTCGGGCGCAGGGGAGCAGCATGTGACGTGCATCTTATTTTGTTCGATCGGGAAATGGAGCAGCATGTTGGGCTCCAGGGTTTGGTCCTGTTCCGACTTAGAGTTGGGGTGCCGTGATATGGCCTCGACCCCGCCGAAGACCACAGCGGAGATCGAGCAGCGCATTAAGGATATACACAGTTGAGTTGAGACATTGATTCTGGGGGGCTGTCAATGCATGCGCACCTAAAAACAGTCTCGGGGCCCCCGGGGACTCAATTGCTAGGAGCTCCGTGGTTTGATCAACGATGCAGATGGAGACGCCGAGCCTCCTGTGGCCAAGAAGTCCAAGGTGGCTGCTTCTGTAGCAACTCAGAAAAAAAGGGTTATCGGGTGTATAGCCTATATAATGTAAATTCGGCTTACACGTTTCAGGTTTTGGGTGGGTTTCGGCGATACATTATAATTGGCTTTAAATTCTGGTCACCCAACCCTATAAACCCTAAATCCTCAGAACACTATAAACCAATAATATTTATATCAACCTTTATAATTTTTAAAACTCCTTAAACCCCAGCTGAAAGCCACACGTGGCTTAAGACGCAAAGGGACTGGTATGGTCCGAATTGAACTCACACGTTGAATCTAGGCTGCCCCGGACTGACGCCGTTCTGATTCCTGCATGCATGGGTCTTGCAGAGAGTATAGGCGGCTGTACATCGATCGACTGCATAGGTTTCAGGTCTTTCCTTCTGAAAGGTTGAGATGTTTCACTCAGACGGTTGTAAATATGGATTGGACACTTCTCCTGCGGGTTTAGGGCTATTTATTTATTTACATAAATATAATGTGTGTATATATATATATATCTATATATATATCTATATATATATATATATCTATATATATATATACATATATAAATATATATATATATATATATGTCTACAGGCTATGTAGGGGTGCTTCGGTTTGGTGGGGTCGGGCCGGTTTGTGTAATCTGCATGGTACATATATATATATATACATATATATATATATAAATATATTTAATTGTATATAGAGACTCTTGTTGTTACTGGAATCTCTATGTAGTCTAACACCTATATATATATATATATATATATATATATAGCTCATAACACCCCATAAACTACTCCCACTTGTTGCTGAGCCGAGGCTCTTTCCAAGGATTTGGACCCGATGTTTGCCGAGACCTTGGTAACGCCAACTACACCGACGCCGAGCCCTGCTACGCCTGTGGGGTCTGCACGTCGGGGCTCCAGCCCTTCGGGGTCCGAGCTATCAGTGCGCTCAGGGTCTACGCAGCCAGCCGCCAAGAAGCCGAGGGTTAAGGCTAAGGAGCATAGGTTTGAATCTGTCAAGACAGAGCCAGTGAAGCCGGCCGATGCTGCCGAAGCCGCTTGAATTAGATTGCCAAGGTTCTCCATGTCAAGACACTGACACATGTATGTAGGGTCCTCTGCCATGTGTGAGAAGCCCAAAGCCAAGGATGATCCACGGGTGAAGGCGTTGCAAAAGGAACACTTGGTCCTTCAGATGAAGCAGGCCGAGCTGCAGAAGAAGCTCCTTTTGCTTAAGAACGAGAAGCCGGGCCCCGCTGCAAATGCTGCACCGACCCCGACCCCAGCTACTTCTGCTTCGGAGCACGAAGGATCTTCGGATGAAAACGGAGATGATGATGATGACTGGGGGCTCGGCCAAGTCCTCTGCCCCAAGACGGGGAAAGCAACTTAGCAGCTGTTATATATAGCTACGTAGAGGAAACCCCATTAGAACCTCATGCATGCATCCTGCGCCGATCCAGGTGCTCACCCTAGCCGCCGTGAAGCAGCGACTGCGCCGAATGTGTTCCCGCCGGAAATCCGGGAAAGTGCCCGGAGGGGAGGAAGCTTTTCAGGCTTACAAGGAAGTGTCGGGACGTAAGAACTTAGCAAAACTCCTCGTGGATGCCGACTTCAACGAGGCTAGGTACCCGCTGCAGTGTATGTGATTTGCTGTGTATGCACACAAGTGTTCTCTCCCCCTTCGCCAGAAGCGATTTGCTATTTCGATGAAGAAGACTGTGAGTAACGAGAAGGAAAAGTCCTTGACTGTGGATGCCGGATGGTACACGGAGCAGGAGATGAAGGATAAGCTGCAGTATGATTCGTTGCTCGGAGGGCCTAGCCATGCATGAATCTTATAACAATCAAGCCATTCTCTTTGTACTCTGTTATGAAGCAACAAGACTTCCAAGGAAGACAATCAAAAAGATTGTCGACTTCACCAGCAAGAACCCGGCCACGCTGCAGCGGCCACTTGGAATAGTCATTCAGTCGGGAAAGTCTGCTCCCCTTGTGTGTATACAGATGGCAGTGTGCACATGTCTTGATTGAGCACAAATCACAATGTGAGGAAATGGAAGTATGATGAATCCGTTGTGCAACACTGGGTCGAGACGCAATGGTCTGGACAGATTGTCAAGAAAGACAAAGAGAGAACGGAGCATGAGCAAGCTGCCGAAGGTTCCGAACTTCCCAAGGTCGACTTAAGCTTCGAGTCGGGCGGCAATGACTCCGGATCCGGTGTCGGCAGCTCTGGAGTGGCAGGGAAAGCCGATGTCGCCTGGCCACAAAGCCCAGAAACGGCCATGATTCTTATAACCCTAGAAACCCTTATCTGTCCATCTACCTTTCTATCTATATAAATCGATCAAGCTATCTCTCTATCCTCTATCTATCTTGAATATATGTCTGTCGATCCACCTATCTACCTATCTATCTATCTATCTATATATAGCTATCTGCATATATATAGTATATATCTATCTATCTAGATATATATATATATAGCGATCTATCTTTCTTTCTATCTTTCTATGTACTTATATCTGTATCATCATAAACTATCTAGATTTTAGACTGAAACCCAGCTGGGAAATAAACCCTTCAAACCTCTTAATACCCCTGAAGTCCCACAATCCTTAAAAGGCCTTAAGCCACTGAAGCCCTGAACCCCGTAGTTGTAAAATCCTGACACACCTATATATCCTATACGCCTGCTCTTTGGGCACGAAAACCTTGAGGATCCGAAAGCTACGTTGGAGCGGGCTTGGTCGGAGATGCTACAGCAGGTGACGAAGATCAGGGACAGCGCATCTGTGCTGCTCGGGGTTCAGGATGCTACGGATGTCCAGAAGAGGCGGGGTTTGCAATTCTGACAATTATGTACTAGTCAAGCCCTGCTATCTGGAGGCATGCCGATGCTTTGCAGAAGCACGCTGATGCCATGGAGAGCCACTACGACCAGATGTCTATGCTCAAGGCAACGGCCTCCATCCGTGTTTCGGACAAGCCCCCCGGCCGAACGCTGCAACTCATCTATCAGACATTTGGGTTTTGGGAGCGCTAACCGCTAGCTTCATGCACATACAAGGCTCAGGGACGAGATCCTTATTGCCGTCGACACCGCCTCCGTTTTGAATCTTGTCTTCAACTATTCGGGTTCTGTCACTCTCTGCATAGCGTGACCCTCGAGCCTATGTCATCACCGTCCAAGGGCATGCCAATGTGTGAGCCTGGAGAGCAAGACTCAGCAGTCCCTTGCCGAAGCGAGGAAAATGCCCCAGAAGCCCGCTGCTGAAAAGCCGGGAAGCGGCAATGCTGCCCCTAATCCAGCCCCCAAAGGCAAGCCGAAATCTAAAGGCAAGGCCAAGGCAAAGGCCAAAACCTCGTAGAGTCCTACAGAGGATCAGGGTAGGCTACGGACACTTTCTTGCACAATTATGATTCTTCTGATATTCTACTATAGGGCCCTGTACACTTTATAAATTGTATAATCTCGATACCCCAAACCCTAAAAGACCCTAAAGCCTTTATAGTTGTGTGTATCCTATATAGACCCTATACACACGTATGTATGTCTTAAATTCTGTAGCTCTCTATTTGATGTATAGTATGTGCTTGCTGATGACAGATCGACGACATTAGGCCTGCATGGGTACATGTGCAAGGAGTTCCTGCCTACGCCTGGAATTTTGATGATTGAATCGAATGTCTACGATTCAAGTTGGATTGCATCGCTGAAATCCGCTAGATGCAAGGATGACGGCTTGCGAGGTAGGCCACGGGACAGTTTGTTGCCCACTTAGAATCGAGATCACTATAGGGCCCGTTTTGCCTTAGATCCCCTATATACTATATATATAACCCCTATACAACCCTATAAAGCTCCACGCAGGCATAGGTTTATATGTATAACTGTAGCTAGGTCATTCTGTGTGATATACAATTACTTTCTGCATGTGTTTGCTGCTAGCACAGGACTGTAGCCCTTGGTACGTGTGTGAGGTCCCTTTGCCTACTATGTTTACATGATCAAGTCGATTCTATGAATCGACGGCTTGCTTCGGCAGCTTGTGCTTCAAAGGTCAGCGAGACCTGGGGGAGACAAGGGCATCGTGATGGCAGCGAGAAATGGGTGTTTCGTTGAGTCCGTCTTATGTACATACACATGCAGCTCTAATCTTGGGTTCCCAGTCACCGCGGTTTTCATTGAGTCCGAATGAAGTCGTCAGGGCCAGCCCTCCAATACTGTACCCGTGTACAACCCATGAAGCCTCTTAGGTAAGAAGCCCCGAAGCTACAGTCGTGCTGAGTCGCATGCTCCCCACGCTTAGCAGCTTAGCCCCTCCCTCCAGAAATAAGGTAACGACTTAAGACACCCAAAGACCCTTAATGTAAAACTGTGTGATGCTTAATTTCCACATGTCTTACAGACCTCATTGACCCCTCTCGTGTAGCTCAATTCCCGCCAAACTTCTTTATATCCTGGCTTATATTGGAAACGGACGAAAACCCTATATATATATATATATATATATATATATATACATACACACATGTAAACTAATTCCACAAGTCCCCATAATGGTCCTATATATATATATATATACCTTAGGACCCGGGCCGCTATTGCCAGGTCGTGCAGGTAAGTTGGGCAGAGAAGCAGCGAAGCAGCTCGTACGAGGAGCCGCAGCCCCAGATAGCAGCATCGCCCCAGATCCCAGCAGCAGTTCGTCGAAGCCTCATGATGCAAAGAGGGGACCATCCAGTTGCAAAAGCTCTTGAAATCCTTTGCCGCAGATTTTCGGGCTTAGGGCTTCGATCTTCAAGCATGCACGTGCGCTCTGAATATGTTAAAGTCCAGTGAGCCTCGGCATTATGCATCAATTTATGTGTGTGTCTATATATATGTACATAGCGCAAACTGCCTGCCATGGATGAATGGCTAGAGGAGCTGCTGGTTTTCCAGCAGTACAAGATTCTTGACTTTTAATAGTGTGCAATGTTTAGACATCCTGGAGACATTTAGTTTGCAACCCTTGAACCTCCGAGGCCTGTGAGACGATGGAACTGCAATTTGGACGACGAGAGGAGTGCAACCAGAATTTTGGCTGCACTAATTCGTCAATGATCGGAACATGAAAACCACTGTCCCCAATCCGTGCGAGATGTCTAGGTCCTTATGCTGCACCGAAAGTGCATTGGAAACATCACAAGTACTTCAGTGCTGAGATCCTTGCGTTACCCCGGCTACAGACTTTGTGGCATCTCATGCTGACACAAAATGATATCCTCAAGATTGCCCTCCCTGACATATCGATGCCCAAGTCGCCCGGTGCGGTTTTCCGGTGTGCAGAAGAAATGGTGGAGGTCGTACCTTGTCCGAAACAGAGCTTATCGGAAGGTCTAGCTGTGTCGGTATTCTGTTCGAAGATAAACCTGGGCATCTCAGGTTCTCACTGGTGTTTCGGTGGCCTACAAGATCGGCTTCACCCATGATCCGTGTGAGAGAGTGCAGGGTTACCTGCAGGACGGTTACAGCCGAATGCATTTGATTTATGTGTCGGCATCGAGCCTGCTGTCCAAGTGCATAGAAGCCCATTTAATTAGACTGTACAGAGGCCGACCAGGCTGCATGAATGAAGCCTTGGGGGGTGAGGGTCCAGATCATTTTGATGGCCCTTACTTTGTTTATGTGGCTTTGAAATCCGCCAAATAGTTCCTTCGACCCCGGATACGGTAGCACATACGACTGCATGGGGAAAGAGAAGCTTGCAAGTGTTGTCGATCGAGCTGTACTACTCTGCAATCCTGCACTTCCTGCAAGCATAGCTTTATAATTATGTTTCAATGACTTGATTGGGCTTGATTGCGTGTGCTTAGGCCACGTCATCGACGATCTCTGGCTTCGCTCGGGCAACTAGTGCGGCCTGCCGTGCAAATGATGCTGTTCTGGATGGTCTGGCACGTGGAGACCAGAGCCGTTTGGATGACAAAAGCCACGAGTTGCAGCTAAGTTGCACTGAGGCCAATAGTCAGGAGGAGCATCGCACCATCAAAGCCAAGAGGCTTTTCACTTAATTTTCAAGATTTATATAGGATTGAAGACATGCGTGCAATATAAGGGTTCACTGCACATGAGGTTCAAGGACTTCGGCTTTGCGCTGGACTTGCCGATCTCGAATGTAGATGTTGGCAACGAGAAATCGCTCATGCCGATGATTAGACCTACTGACTTCTATCGGCATCTTGCAGATCTGGGCAAGCTGAGCATACTGTATGCAGACCAGGACACCGCTGTTCTGACCAAGCGCCGTCGGCTTGTTTATTCCGGATCACTACAACCCAGCAAGCCCGAATTCCGAACCTTGAACCCAACCTTACAGTACCTCTATACCACAGGGGCCTTAATAACTATAGGATTAGGGTTTCGGGTCCATTATACTATACTTGTAATAAGGACCCCCCCTCCCCCCCCAAACATAGTATTGGTAATTATGTAGGCCATTATAGAAACCTTTGTCGAACTCTAACCCCTAAACCCCGCAGCACCACAGTATCCTGATACTCTTCGAGGATGCATGATGCCACGCACCGAAACGCTCAAATCAATAAACCGCTCAGGGATGAGGGTCCAGGGTTTGAGGTTTACGGATGTTTCGGCCTCAGAACCTCAACCCTAAAAGCCCAGCAAGAAGCCACTGCTGGTATGTGTCGTATAGAGACACACTTCGAGATTTGAAAACGTTGTTCACCTTCAATCGTGTGTTTGATTCTATAGCTAGCCTCTTATATGCTTTAATCGGATTATTTAGGATTTCTAGGATTGTTTGGCAGAGCCAATGCCCAGGATATCTTCGAATCGAATTATAGACTATATGCCCAGGGTTTCAGCTTAGGGTGTATGCAGTATATGTATATATATATATATATATGTACATACTGCCCATATAAACCCTAAACCCTAAACCCTATAAACCCTATATAACTCTGTAGGGTATTGGGTTTAAGGTTTTTTTTTCTGTAGGGTTGGGTTTCAGGTTTTTTCCTTCGCTCACATCCCAGGTTCTGGGACAGATTTGCCATCGTGGAGCCCTGGCACACAATCAACGATTCTTTCGAGGCTGGACTTCTTGTGCCAGAGCGGACAATCCCGTTGCTGCTGCACGGGGACGAGGCTCGGAGCAAAAAACACCTTCCGATGATGGTGGTCAATACACACGGCATTATCGGGTATGGATGCAGAGCATACGAGAACTGGTTTCAGGAAGCTCCACTCTTGCGGGATCAGGCTGGCGGGGTAAACTTGAAAGGGTCAGTGCTCGCGACCCGTTATCTGCACTTCGTCATGCCGAAGAGAAGCTACGGTCCGGACTCCATCTTCCTCGACCGGATGTTTGATGAGCTGGCGAAAGATCTTGCCAGACTCCAGACGGAAGGCGTGATGGTGAATGGCGAGCGGTGGCACCTGCCTGTCATAGCTGCCACTGGAGATTGGCAGTTCTTTGCTAAGGTGGGCCACTTGACGCGTTGTTACACGCACGTTGCGAAGCGGAGCGGCCAAAGGACGCTCAACGGAATCTGCCATTTATGTATGGCTGGAACTGCAAATCTTGGTTGGGAGGACTTTGTCGATGACCCTGACTGGATGCAAAGCATTGGGGCCGAAGAGCCATGGGTGGAGACGCCAAAGCTGATTCGGCGACTGCACACTGATGCTGTGAACAAGGCAAAATTCTTCCGTCCAGACTTCTGGCACTGCTTGCACCTGGGCTCGGGAAAGGCTTTTGTCGCCAGTGCAGTTGCAGAGTGGCTTCGTGTGACCCCCGGCCGCTTGGATCTGCAAGTCCCGCATTAAGATTGCTTTTCATAGCAACACCCTAAACCCGCCCTAAATAATATAAAGACCCTTGCAGAAGCTAGCTTCTTTCTCGCTGACAAGAGGCACCATTGCTCTATTAACATTTTTCGTTTTCATGGGTGCCGAAGGGCTGTTCCCTGTAAGGTCCAACCATCCCGATCTTTATAGTAGACAGATCGACAAAATAGTGGCTTCTTGTTTTCTTCGTATCCGTCAAATCCAAGTTAAAGGCAACAATATTACGGAGCGCTTGGAATACGTGGACAGAGCTGCGCAGAGCTGGCTGCAAGGTCGTAACGACAAGCTGTACTGTCGACGCATCTCCGAGGTGACAATGGGCATCGACAGTTTGCAGAAAGTACCGACTGGAGGATGGCAGAAGGCGTCCGACACAACACTGCTGCTGGAGTTCGTGGAGCACTTCTGTTCAATCCACTCCGAGCACACAAACCAAGATGCCATTCTTCGCTGGATTTGGGTTGCCGCTGCCAATATCAACTTGAGCATCCGCACGCTCTATCAGGGCGGCCTCTGGCTGGACCAGCATCATGGCCGCACTGCAGCGGTTTGTGGCCTCAACTTCCTGAAGGCCTACGGACACCTCGTCTCCCTGTGTCTGCGAGCGGATCGAGACAGATTCCCTGTGACGCCGAAGCTTCATATGCTGCATCATCTGTTCTTGGAGCTCAAGACAGACAGCAGCCGGCACTCTTGGGCACTGAACATGCTGGGAACATCCGTGCAACAGGACGAGACCTTCGTGGGCATCCTTGGCCGCCACTCGCGCCGGGTTGGACCGGTGCACACTGCGCTGCGGACGTTGCAGCGGTATCTGTGTCACGCCGCCGAGCACCTCACTCCGGAGTACCGGCGGGTGTGAAAATGATTCCGAGTCCGCTTCGGGTGGCACGCTCCACCGGGGTCGAGGGTCTTCCCTACTTCCCGCCCAGGCAATATAAAGCCTCAATCCAATTATAACCCTAATTAAGGGTTGCTTTGCTTATCAACCACAAGGAACCCGAATCAAATCCTGACCCCCTCTGCAACGTGTCTGTCATGAGCCGAACCCCTACATACAAACCCTTAACCTTGTGTGTATATATGTGTTTAAAAGATCCTATCTCTGTAAGGTTTATATGCCTATATTTGTATAGGGTTTGGCCATCATTCCGGAGTTGTTCCGCGGATACTTTTTTCCGTACCCAGAAAAAGTACAAGTTTTAGCACAGATAGAAAAAAGTAGCGGGACACGTCTACTGGTAGTAGTAGTAGTCGTAGTCGCAGTCGTAGTCGTCGTAGTAGTAGTAGTCGTCGTCGTCGTCGTCGTCGTCGCCGTCATCGTAGTGAAAGTATATAAGTAGTAGTGGGAGTACTAGAAGCAGCAGAAGGACTGTAGGAGGAGTAGTAGTAGTCGTCGTCGTCGAGTGGGTAGTGATGGCAGTGGCAATGGCAGCAGTCGTGGAAGTGCTAGTAGTAGTAGTAGTAGTAGTAGTAGTAGCAGCAGTAGTAGTGGTAGTAGCAGTCGTCGTCGTCATCGTCGTCGTTGTGGCAGTGGTAGTGGTGGCAGTTTCGAGAGCAGAAACCGTATCAGTCGTAGCAGCACGGTACTGTAAGGAGAATTGCACAAATGATGGAATCTGCGTCACAACACGAACCTTCTCCTCTTCCCGGCGAACCTCCTGCACCGAAGAAGCGTATGTCGACAGAGCTGCATCACATGCATCGACTGAGTGTCACAGCGTGACGGAGCCAAGCTCTGACCAAACAGACCTGTCAAAGAGCCCCCAAATTCAGCCAGGTCCCTTCATTCCAACCTTCCCCTGTCCTTCTGAAGCTCCGCCTTCAGCCTCTGCTTCTCTGCGAGACTGTCAGTAGGCTCCTCGCTGCCGCGAAGCAAACAGTTCAAGACGCTTCAGAATGGTCTTGAAAAAAATCTGTAGGCCTCCAGAGGTCAAGTTAAAAGAGCTCTTCGAGGCTTCGATTCGTTTGGGTCATCTCCAAGTCAAAGAACTGCTTCCACCAGTCTGAAGTGAATACTCTTGCTGCTCAAGATGATAGCTGGAGGTCTGGCTCAACGGGTATGAACACGCTTCAGCAAGCTTTTTGTCAAATAAACAGCACTGCAGAGTGAATCGGGTCGGTAGAACTCTGGATCCGAATCTTCGTTCAAGGACTTCGGGCTTAACATGTTGGGCACGAGGATCTTCGTCGTGAATTGCTTAAACTTAAAACAGTCTTAAATCTAAAAAGCAAAACAATTCAGGATTTATAGCTTCAGTGACGGTGACTGAACTTCAGAGCGAGCACAGACCTCGGCGACCTTGGCACCTAAACGCCAGATCCGAAACCCTGAGAAACCCTGAGAAACCCTGAAACTCGCAACCGCTACCCGCATCCGTCGCATCCGTGCCTGCGCAGCTGGCAGGTCCAACGCGGCCGATGGCGCGGGGAAAGCCTGAGAGTTCGCTTCGAGCATGCCGTTACATCTCGTTGCCTCCGCTAGTGAAGGCGATGATTATGATGACGATGAAGATGATGCTTACGACGACGAAGACGACGAGGACTACGGCTGCGGAGAAAGTAATAACGGTTTACCAGCGGGCCTGTCGCTACTGCTAGCATCTTGCCTGCGAGTGACCGAGACCTCACCTCCAAAAAGTGCAGATCCAGGAAGGTCGAGGGTTGAGATTGAGGCTTCGTGGTGATGTCCATCATGGCGCTGAATTCCATGCGTAAAGACAGTCATGAAAACCTGAAGGGGCAGGCCTGGACAAAGCTGCCCTGAACGACATCCGAAAACTGCAACGGTCCGACGGAAGCGTTGCACTTTCAGCCCGGTCGCGGAGAGCTCGGTCCACCTGCAACAGACCGGAATTCAACACCCTACCTTCAAAATGACACTTTCATTGCGGTCTGGTCCAGTATGCTACACAGCTGGATGACTACGCTACGATACGTTCCCCTGCTTGCTTGCAGATTCGTGGTGGAGCTTCTCTCAGCAAGAGTGCTTCTTTTTGTTGTTGATTTGAAGACAAAGCCGGGCTCGGCACCGCACCAGGGTTGTCCAGTCTTCGGCTCTCTTGGCCTGCCTACACCCACGGCCGCCCCGGGGCCACGGCGCCTCCGCCGCTCCAGGCCGGCCAGGAAAGCTTCGATGCCTTCGGCAAAGGCCGCAGGCCGGCAGCAGTCCAAGACCTTTCAAAGCATCAAAGCAAGTGTAAACAGCAGCGGCATGGCCGCAAGGGGCACCACTGAAGATTCTTGATTCTTGCTTTGTGCTGCTCGGCACTGGCATGCTCTGCAAAATGCAGAGACAGATTCAGGCAGACCTCGAGACCCCCAAGCCGAACCCCTAGGACCCTACACCAGAAACCTGAAGCCGGCCCACCCGTCCGTCGCCCTCAGATGCCAAGGCACAAGGCTGCAAAGATCTCGTTGCTGTTCATGCGACAAATCTGCCGCAGGCCGTTGTTCATGTCAATGTGAAGCTACACACCAGCCCCTTGACATGCTCGCTGCAAGAGGGCAGGATCAAGACGTTGGTACACCCTCGACTACTCGAGACGGACGCCCGACATCGGAATGCACTCTCAGCTACGCTCAAACCCTACAGAATCTCGAAAGAGGACCTCAACAAGAGGAGTCACCTCCAAAGGAAAAGGCCACTCCTCCGAGAGGGACCTCGCCTCGCGCCCAGGTGACGAGGCCCGAGCCGAGCAAAAGCAAGGCCTCCGCCAAAAATGGAAATGGAGATAAGAGGACGAAGAAAATGTGCGCTTTTTGTGCTTATGCCACGACTCTAGGACTCTACGGGGCTGAGCGCAGGGAGGGGAGCGGTTCAAAGGGCGTGAGGGCTTCGGGGCTTGAACGATTGTCCCGCAGTCAAAATCGCATCAGAGAGTCCATCAAAATCTCACAGAATTAAGACACGTTGGGGGGCAGCTGGTCTTGTCGTAGGCTACGTCATCTCGATTCTAGAACTCGGCATGTACTCGCCTTTTAGATCTTCAGGGCCTTTACGCGGAACGGTTCGCGGGGGTCTGGGCCTCGGCTTGGGCTTCCCCTGTGGAGGTGCAGCCCAGTGAAGGCTTGGCCGGGCCCGGCCCGGGACAGCTTTCGCCGCTCCCACCCCAGGTCCCCAGCCCGGCCCAGCCCCCAAGAACACGAAGCGCCGCTCGCACTTCGAGCGGAGCTCACGCAGAGCGGGTCCAGAAAGCTTTCGCAGACTTCCACTTCCGAATGCTCCCCGAAGCAACGCCCACACCACCTTATCAAAGCATGAAGACCCGCCTCTGCCGTCGCCTGCACCTGCATCGTAAGAGTCGCACAGCCATCGCAACCATCGGGCGCCACCTGGCAGCAGAAGGGCTGCCACTAAACAGATAAGCGACAAGCAAGTAGACTCGTCCGCCTCATGATTCTTATGCCTTTGCCTCCACTTAGTACGACCGCTGAGATGACTGCTCCTGTTTCTCCGCTGGTCATGGACAACTGTGACAGCTGCTGTAACTGCTACTACTGTCACTGCCATTACTGCTACCACTGAGCACTGAATCACTAAACTTCCAGAAGCTTATGGTTCCTCCAGATTGAACCCGAAGCCGCTAAAAGCCCCACCAGACCCAAAAACCCGAAACCTCCTCGCTTGGCGGCCGCAGTGGCAATGGCGCAGCGACTGTGGCTGAGGCCTAGGTCAACCCTGAGCACCCGAGTGTTGCATGAGGAAAAAACTTTTGGATCAAGGAGAATCTACGGTTTTCTGACTCTTGGGACTCCTGAGTTCTCAGCTCAAGTCAGGATTCGTTGGTTTGGCATTCGGGGATCAGGCTTTTTTTGGTCCCACGCCTTATGTGGGACCTGGACCAAGTCAGCCGAAACAAGGCTCCGTGTGTGCCGAGTTTGCTGTGAGACATCTGCAAAAGGCGTACCTACAGTCCAACTACAGCAAGCACTGTTTTCGACTCCCGAACCTTAAATCCACAGCCCCGCGTGAGAGGAACTTGGAAAGCGCTTCTGTCGGCAAAAGACTGTCACAGAATCCACTCAACACCTTGGGTCGTGAGTCGATCTGGGATTGATGTCGGCACCGGTTTCGGCCCATGCAACCGTGTTAAACGCACGGAATGTGCATACACATGCATGCCCGCAGCTTTTAATCTATCTATGTGTCCATCCATCTATCTGTCTGCCGATCTGTCGATCTCATGATCTATCTACCTAACTATGTAACTAACTAACTGACTGACTAACTAACTAACTATCTTTTCATTTAGTTGTAAGACCATACCATAAGTTGATTCATCTATTCATGTATGTGTTCTTTACTTGCTTGTTCGTTTATCTATCGATTATCTTTATGTGGAGAGAGCAAGACAAGAGGAGAGAGACAGAGAGAGAGGGAGGCAGGGAGAGAGAGAGAGAGATACAGAGAGAAACAAAGACAGACAGAGGAGGGAGGGAGAGAGAAAGAGAGCGAGAGGCAGAGATAGAAAGACAGAGAGAGAGAGAGAGAGAGAGAGAGAGAGATGACCGCTCAACCTTACTTCCCACAGCCGAGGTCCACACGGCCTGCCGAGTAGTCCACGGGATGGCCTCCAAAGACCCACATAGGGAGTCCAGGCTGTGCTCCTCAGCAGGGAATTCCTCATGCTTTATAGCTTCTCATAGCTGATCCTATGTGTGAGTGGGTGATTGCAGGTGCTGATGCGCTGCTTCTGAGGAGCATCCAATTGCTTTCATGTGTTTGCTGCAATCGAAAAGGACGAGAACGGACCGGCAAGCCTCGCTAAGGCAGCCTTCAAAGGAGTTTGCTATATCGACGCTGGCTGACACTGGCCGCCATCAGTTTGGCACGAAGCTCCGGAAGGACTAAAACTTCCT